AGGAGGGGGGAAGGGATGGGGGTAAAAAAATCGAATACTATGATGGACCCGATTTTTGGTCCCCATTCTTCACTTAATATTACATCTCAATTGCAAATAATCAAAAACATAAAAATACCTGCCATCCCCGCCCTGCTTTGTGGCCAGATGTTGAAAGTTAAAGGTTACTGGTCAAAAATAAACCACACCAAATCTGAAATATAATAACAATATTTTGTTCACAGAACACACACAATTAAAGTACGAGAATTGAAAAATTGTCAGTTCTCTTTATTTCTAACATTTTTTCAGATGAAAGTCAATTAGCAATCACTTCTCCGTCAATAGAATCCAATGATGTAAATTTCAAAACTGTCCAATTCTTGTGTTTACAAAAATTTGTTATTGATATTCCGAAAATGTGTTGAAGGGGTGGAATGGCTGGCTAGTCTGCTCCAAGCTGGGTGGAAATGCTAGCTCTCACTTATACAAAATGAGCCCCACAACTTGAAATATACCAAATTATACAAGGAAAAGTACAGATTTTATTCAAGAATTGTGAATTGTGTTGCGGGGCTCATGCAGTCCGCTTGCAGGGATGCCTAGCTAGTATCCCCACCGGAAACCGAGCTCTCATTGGTCCAAATAGTAAATCCTTGACTCTGATTGGCTAGTGAGGTAAATATAGCCGGCTTCACTTTACTCAGATCCAACCCTGTAAGGTATATGATAGCGTGCCTAGATTTTATTGCACGCGGTTTTGGATTCAGCCCAGACAAAAAAAAAATCGAGAATTTAGAGTTGGTAAATAGTTTTGAATCCATACACTGTATTAGATATTAAAGGCTGTTTGCAGTTTATTTCGTTTAAAAAATCTTTTGCTCAAATATATTTTACTTTAAGTTAATTTTACTAGTTTGTTTTTAATCTTTGTGAAGAAACAATCTCAAGAACTGACGAGGGTCAACCCAGACCGAAATATATTTTCAATAAATGGGGAACTAACATCTACTTTTTTACTCTACAGAGGTTTGGTCCATCACCATCACTGAACTTTTAATTTTACTATAATTTGACTCGTATATAATATCTTTATTATTGTCTTTAGTACTAAACAACTTAAAAAATTATGGAAGAAGACATTCAAAACTAATTAACAAATGTCATGTTTCGTGGGACACGCTGTAGCTTAAAATACAATAAATTGATTAAGTAACAGTAGTCAATTAACTAGGCATTAAGATATTAGATGAACAATCAAATAATTTAATAATATGAATTTTACTTGTAATTTGTATTTATCAGGCATATATATTTTAACACTTCAAAATAAATTCTACTTAATGTGAATACATATTTTTTAAGAGATGGGATTGAACGATTCATAGAGAAGTGTAAACNTAGATAAATAGTTGGGTTATCAAGTTTCTATTGCGAAATAAAAAAAATATTTATGTTTTGAACATACTCCTATTACCTGTTCATAAACCTGTGCAAGGTTGGCGGCATGGATGACATATGGGTGTCCATAGCCTAGACATTAGATAAATAAAACCAGGAATCATCAAATCAAAACATACAACTTTAATACAGTGCTTTAGATCAATTAAATCAGCACTAAACAAAAAGCCATTCAGAAATCAGGACATTTTTCTATTCTCACTAATTTAGATTTGGGTTTGGGAGTAAAAATTTTTTTATAGTTTTTGGTCGATTTTTTGCACCTTGGATCTGGATCCGTAGATCAGCATATTTTAGCGAATCCGGATCCAGGAAGCCAAAACATACGGATCCAACTGATCTGGGTTGGATCCGATCCCAAGCACTGCTTTAATATAGAAAGGACGAAATCCTATCATTATACAAGCATAAGAGTGTGGGAGGATGTGGGATCAGCTCTAATTTGAGATTTATTTACCCTATCAGGATGCGTTAAAATGGGGGTCGAAAATACGTCATAACTCTCATAATAATTGGTTCTTATGAACTCTTACAAACATAATTTTAGAACATGTTATAAAGAGGTTTATGTCCGATTTACATCGGTAGCTTTCAAGACAATTTAACTGATTGACAATTGGAAGATATTATTGTTTATCTAGCTTGAGAATTCTAGCAAATTTCTGATCATTGTCTCTGCAACTTAATGAGTCATGTAAAAAAGAGAGCAAATTACATGAGTCTGTCCTTGGTAACAATTTTTGAGTTATTTCTTAGAGAATGATTTTTGGGCCCCAATCAATTTTGTACATGGATCTAGTATGTAACACATGGAATTAATTAATCATGTGGTCAATGCGCCCGGCCCCCTAGCCTGTTCTGGCCGCGGCTCTCGGCCCCCTAGCCTGTCCTAGCCCCAGCGCTCGACCTAACCTAACTCTAAAATATTAAAAAAAAT